AGGTGACATATCTGATGAGCTTGTGCGAAAGAAAACGGCTCTCCTAGATGGATTTGTTACTTTAACTTTCTTACTGCCATTTATATGTGCAACTGTGCGTGCAAATAGTTGGTCAGTGTAGTGTAAAAATATTTTTAATTCAATTGTTTTTAATAATTCAATTTATTTTGCCCTTAAATTTGGCTCGACTAAATGAAATCAAATTAAAAACAAGACAATAAATAAATAAAAGAACAGGAAAAAAAAAAGATAATTTAATTTAAAAGGAAAATTGGAAATATTTCCACTGGCTTCAAACTGTGTAAAAAAAAAGTATTTAATAAAATAAATTGACAATAAAAGGAAGGAAAATATATGAAAGAAAAGGAAAAAAAGAAAATGGAGAATGAGGACGACAAGAAAATAATAGAAAGGGGGAGGGGGTTATTAATAATGAAAGATGTAAACGAAGAAGAAACCTCGTTCCGAGCGGTCTTATACAGGTTTTCGTTTATCGGTAGCGAAAAAGCATCTGCACTAGTGGAAACGATGTTGAAATATAGTGTTCTGTAAATGAAAAACAAAATATAAAATCTTATTACTATATCAACAGAATATTTAATTAGTTAGTAGCGGCCGATAAATATATAAAGTCAGGCTGTGAAATTGTTTTTTTAATCATATCATTCTAAGCAAGGCAATAAAGTTACTAAGACACAAGGAGTTACTGAGTGTATAATAATAAGAAAAAGAAACATTATTAAGAAGCGAAAACACTAAAAGAGGAAAGAAGATAATGATTGACATTGCAGTAAAACTTTTGAAGATCAAAGTTGGCGGGAGACCAAGAAGCCGGAAGAGAGTTCCATAGGAGAGAAGTGCGAGAAAAGAAACAGCAAAGAAATTACAGTTATTTCTAGCCAGTTCGACAGTAAATTGATGAGACCTTGTTGCCAATCTAATATTGCTTTTAGATTAGACTCGGCACCAAGCAGGAAAACTCATCAGAAAAATTACCATGAAACTATTTATAGAAAAGGCGCAGGGAAGCTAATACAGACATGAATTATTAACACGAACGCTGCTTGACAAGACAGATGCAAGTGAAGTCTGCTTGAGCAATGAAAAACAAACACAAGAATCAATAACAGATTTTCTTTTTTGCCCTTTTTTCTTCTCCATATTTCATTTCCCGAAGAAGCTTTTGATAATAACGAAACATGTTAGATCAATAAACATTTGCTATTTGTTCGTTATCCTATCATATCTGATCCCAATTATATATATATATATACACACAGACACACACACACACACACACACACATATATATATATATATATATATATATATATATATATATATATATATATATATATACAACTATGAACCTAAAAAAAGAGCCAGGCAAACTTACCTAGGTCGTCAGGTTATGCTGCCCAGCGTACCCTGACGACCTAGGTAAGTTTGCCCCTCCATATTAATAATGAACTAATCTAACAACACTGTCTAAATACCTAAAATATTATCTATAAAACTAAAATAATAAGGAACCAATTTCAAGTCAAAACATACAGCCATGATAACGGTTGACGGTAACCGAAACGCTTGGCAAAACACAATGGACTAGGGTCTTATTTCAACAACTTGGACTTTAATAATGATATGCTGCCAATATATTGAGTTGCTGCATAATTATCCGGCGTTTTTGACAATAGTTATTAAGAAAAAAAGGAATATAACAATTCAATAATTTTTTTAAATGAGTATGATTAACTGAAATTAAATAATATTTTTATTAAAAAGTAAACAAAACAGCAGTTTTATTAAAAAAAACTCTCCTCCCAAAAACGTCTGATAATTATACAATCAATATATATATATATATATATATATATATATATATATATATATATATATATATATATATATGTGGTAAAAATATAGTTTTATGGTATGCTATATTTATGACTAAAAGTGCTTAATATCAGAGATGGAGCGTATCTGAAAATATAAATGGGGGACACTGAGGTCAAGAGAAAGCGTCCACAGTCTGTTTCATGATTGCATTAAAGAATGAAACAGAACGATACCGATTATTGTTTACCTCAGTGTCTACACACACACACACACATCACACACACACACACATATATATATATATATTGAGACATTTCATTGAATAATTTAGACAAGTTTTGTCTACTTAACTTCAATTGGATCCTTCCATATTCACGGACAAGCTTTTTTGGTGTCAGTATTAAAGGAAGAGAGAAAATTACTGTGTTGATCCATATTATTTATTCCGAGTATTTTCGACATGAGCACAATGTCATCGCACAACACTCAACTCAGCGTTCTTCATTTCACGAGTAAAAATTTTAACTTTCAGATGAACATAGAAATGTTGTCTTTGAAAATGACACTACAATATTTATCTTGAAATAAACAACAGACTGGTGAAAAATGTATGTGAGGGAAAATGTCTTGGGATCTCTGAGGATAAGTAGTAATCATAAATCTAATTAAATTAGATACCGTATCACCTCCAATGTCCAGATGCAAGAGAGTGTATGTCCGCCGACTGTTTGTTTTATCTTCATCAGAAGCGTTTGGTGTAGTTGGATTTTAAATCAGTCCGCCGAAATTAGAGAGTGATTTTTACACATACATACACATATATATATATATATATATATATATATATATATATATATATATATATATATATATATATATATATGCATTAAAATGGACAAAGTCCGATAATTATTTAACAAATTTTTTTATGTTTATGCGTTCTTATATAGATATTTTTTCTAGAAATGTATGACGTCATTTGTTTATATTTGGATACGCATTGAGCAAATATGAATGAATGAGAGAAAATCATGGAGAATTGTGTTTAAAAACAGTAAAATCGATCTTGCTAACAGAACGATCCTCTGTGGCCCAATTGGTTAAAGCACGTCAGGCTATATGACGGTTCCGTATAGGATACAGGTTCAATTTCTGTCGGAGGACGCATATTTTCTATGAAAATTTGTGTATGTATATATATATATATATATATATATATATATATAAAGTAATTCAACCAGATGTAACAGCAAAATTGTCCAGATCGTGTAACAGCATAATTATCCATGCCACAAAATGTTTAAAAATCACTAAACTAATTGAATTTCTTTTTCCGGATTTTCAGATAAGACGTTTAGCCATCTTGCCAGAATTTCTTGTAAAAATTACTGAAAAATCCTTTGAGTTATTCAGCTAGAAAAAATATAGGTTGAAATCGTTTCGTGTCAGACCCACTGTCTTTCCAACAGAACAATGGTAACAGGAAAAAAGATTATTCAGGCCTTCAGTAAAGGTACTAACATTCATACCCTCGATTCCATCTTCAAAGTCCATTCTAGAATCATCAAGTGGTATCTACTGGCCCGGGTGGGTAAGTAGATGACACTTGGGTAAACCTCTGCCATTTCGTTCTCATGGATCAGTTCTTCCTCTGATTAGCTCCCCGCCCATCTACTCAGGTCCCTGGCAATATGAACAAAGGTCCCTCTCACGGTCCTAAGTTTGATGAATAGGGTTCCTAGATTTGATTATAGTGGTGAAGGTTTCGTGCAGGACCATCCACAGTTTTTGAAGGGCCGAATACAGAGACCTGGTGCACTACATGCCACAGGGACCCCAAAAAGTTTTGAATTCAGAGTTGTCCTTCTCCTAGACCAGTTGCCATCCAAGGCTATAGAACCTACATCCCATATATGTATATTAATAAAAATTAATGAATATACATATATCTACGTTCGAAGGTATATGTATATATATTAAACGAAGAGGAGCCACGATGGAGTAATGGATAGCGGTTCGGTTTGAGGAATTGGAGATCCGAGTTCAAATTCCAGTCGAATCTATTACCTTCACTTACGTGCTAATACCATTGGGAAAAGTATGAATCCTCTTCTTCTCCCCCCAGCTATGGGTAAATAGCAGGACAGACCGGGTTCTATAGCCTTGGATGACAAAAAGAAATTGCGACCTACTGCAGGAAAAATATGCCTCATCAATCATGTATCGAAAGATGCATGATCGCCTAAGCGTGTATCACGCACGGCACATAACTGACTGATATGTACATTTATTAATATTGATATATACCTATTAGCTCTGTCTAACCACATTGAACACTGTTTTGTAGGTAGGTATATTTATTAATATATACTTACGTATAGAACGTAGGTATATGTATATTCATTAATATATACTTCTTGGCTTTGTCTAAACAAACTGTTTTGTTTACACCTTAAATTGAGTAAGTATTTATTCTCTTACCTGTGTATGCATGCTAACGAATTTACATATAATATGGGAAAGAGGGTTTGCATTGTCATTTTTCACCTCCATTAAATTGTGAGCATGCAGCGGACCCTTTCCCAGCCCTCGGTGTACACCGACGTGAACAAGAACGAGACGCTATTTTAGGAATGCCTAGGCCGGTCGGCGGAAAGTATGGACGAGGTTCACTTTGTATGTTTATGATATTTTCATGCCAAAGGTTCAAACGATCACCATTCTTTAGTTCTACCGGTTCATGCCTTCAGAGTTAGGATCTGCACTGACACGTACTCAGAGTCGAATCAGCCTCGTTCCTTTTGTATTGCATGTGTAAGGAGGAAGTTCAAATCAAACAACTTTTCACAAGAACTGTTTCTTAATGGAATAGAATCTTTTCTGGATGCTTCATTAAACGCTATAATCTTAACCTTTTCAAGTTGAGGGCTAATCGTTATCTGTAGTAATCATCCTTATAATCTTCACTTTCTATCACATCCTATTTCACACACATCGTTCATCATAATCATTTTAGCAATGGCCCTCTACCTTGAGTGGCTCCTCGGCTTTGCGCTAGGCGAACATTAGAATAAAGGTTGCAGAAAAGAATGAAAGAATTAGTGTAAAGAAAGAAAGAAAGAAAGAAAGAATCAGTGGAGGGAAACAAAGAAGGAATCAGTTTAAAGAAAGAAAGAAAGAAAGAAAGAAAGAAAGAAAGAAAGAAAGAAAGAGAGAAAGAGAGAGAGAATCTGTGCAAGAAAGAAAGTAAGAAAACACAAAGAAAAAATCAGTATGGGAAAAGAAAGAAACGAAAGAAGGGCGTGATGGGAAAACGTAGGGTAAAAAAGAAGGTAATACTTAAATGGTAAGAAAGAAAGAAAGAAAGAAAGAAAGAAAGAAAGAAAGAAAGAAAGAAAGAAGCAGTGTAAAGAAAGAAAGAAAGAAAGAAAGAAAGAAAAAGAACGAATCAGTGTAGAGAAAGACAGAAAGATAGAAACAATCTGTGTAAGAAAGAAAGAAAAACACAAAGAAAAGATCAGTATAGGAAAAGGAAGAAAAACGAAAGAAAGAAAGACGTAATGGGAAAACGTAGGATCAAAAAAGGAAAGACTTAAATGGTAAGAAAGAAAGAAAGAAAGAAAGAAAGAAAGAAAGAAAGAAAGAAAGAAAGACGTTATGGGAAAACGTAAGCTAAAAATGAACGAGAGACTTAAATAGTCAGAAAGAAAGAAAGAAAAAATCAGAGTAGAAAAAAAAAAAACTAAAAGGTAAGAAAGAAAGAAACAAAATAGAAAGAATCTATATAGGAAAAGAAAGAAAGAAAGAAAGATTTCCCCACGGAAAGACGACTTTTCTAAATTGCTTAATAAATAATTCAATTTTAACAGACATTTCCATCTGCAAAAATTGATTCCACACTTTGCCTCGAATTCCTTATGTCCACTCAACCTGATTGGGACATTTTCGACGGTGTGTGAGGGAATGGCGTGTCTCATTTGATAAAGACGAAAATTCCTTAACTATTCATGTAGGCGTCTTCAGTTCGATTCCTGCAACACGTCTTACCCATTCTTGCAACGATTTGGGAACTTGTAAAATAAATGACACCCGTCATAATTCACGATGTAACATTATACCAGAATCAAATGAAATAATAATTTTGCTTTTCATTACTTATACCCGGTATTCGGAAATCATATTTTTTACATTTCAGATTTCGACCCAATATGGTTTTAACAACTGATGAACGTCTTTTTCTCATCGTCGAACACGTATTTCGAGAAGGTGGTATAGGTACACAGATTTCGTGCGACTGCGTTTTGCTGATAAATTTTTTCATTGCAATGCAGTTCATAATCTAGTTGATAACTTTTGGGAAACAGGATCAGTAGACGATGCCAAAGGCTGTGAAAGGTCAGCAAAGCTCTTGGGGGAGAAACTTTTGCATATTCCTGAATGTATGTAGCAGAGTTCAAAGAAATCATTACGAAAGTTTGCGCAAGATATTGGTCTTGGAACTGTCCATAAAACCGTCTGACAAAAAATTAAATTTTTTCCCATACAAAATAATGGCGGTTCACGTTAGCGGTGTTCAGAAACAAAATAAGAAGCACCCAAGCCTGTATTGATGTTAATCGGCATCACTTTCCACATTGTTAAGCATTTTCATTCATATTCTTCTTCTGTATTCTATATCAGGGATTGGCAACATTTTGCTGACTATGTGTCGACTTAGGATTTTAAAATCATTCATTGTGCCAACAGCAGACGTATTTTTATACAATTCAAGGTCAATATACCTGTTCTACAATATATTTTATATAGTAATATATACAATAATATATAAACCCCATCAATAGAAATAAACTGTTATTAAAAGATTTTTTTTATTTTTTTTATTAATGGGAGTCCAACGAGTGAGCAGTTTTTAAACAGCTAAATATCTTAGCGCTGTAGTAGTTATTGGTTCGGACTTCGTGATGTCATTAGCGGCTGTGTGCCATTTGAAATTGCTTGGTGTGCAAACGCCTGGCACTCCTGAAGTAGGTTGTCGACCCCTGTTCTATATTGAAAAATGTCAGTCAATAAAAAATATAAGGGCAAAGTGTCTTTCGAAACACCGTGTATATTAGCTTGAGTCACAAATAATTTCCGTTTTTGGTTGTCAACATTATTCTTCAAAAGAATAAACTAAACAAGCGTGTTCTTCGGTAAGATATTTGTAGTGAGTCCCGATAAAAAAAATAATGTATAAAAATAAGATATATAAACGAAAATAAAGAGAATTAAAATTAAAATAAGACATTTGCACTTTCTTTTAAAACCCTTGTCTCTTTCTTTCTCCCTTGCTAAACTTCTCTCACCGTACAAGAAGACAACCATCAAATAAAAAGGGGAAGAAGAAAAAACTGAACCCAGGAGCAGAGATTACTTGTGACTGAAAAAATACCTAAAATCAGGAAGGCTCTACATCTGTCACTTAAAACTCATGTTATAAAAAAAAAAAAGAATGAAAGAAAAGAAAGAGATTTTTTATATTCGCGCCCAAATCTGTAGCCTATTCAAAAAGGATAAAAAACCTGACACCTCTAGACCAGAAGCAGATAGGAAGACCAGAATGACACCAGAAGAGGACAGAACAAAATAACACAGCCACACGTGAAGAAGCTAAGAGGTCATCAGCAACTGATATTTCTGCCCTGTATCAGAGCCGAAAATAACACAGTAGATTGACACTGACCTAATCTCTCACATTGCTACTACCCCTATCTTGGTTTGACTTCAAAATAACCACAAATGGACATTTCTCCAGACAACCATCAATTTACACTTGATGTTGATTTGGTGTTCATTGGAGAGTCTTAGACAGTGTTGTTCATTTGGAGAGTACCAGACTCTCAAGGTCATCCTGGCAAACGTGGTAGCAACAAACAGTTGCATACTATGCTTTTAATAAGAATAACAAATTTTTTAAAAAAGTAACCCTTTAGTCATATTTAAAATGTGTAGTGAGTCGTGATAAAAATAAAATATATGAACAAAAAAGTAAAAAGAATTAAAATTAAAATAAGGCATTTGCAATTTCTGTTAAAACCCTTGTCTCTTTCTTTCTCCCTTGCTAAACTTCTCTGTCTATACTTCTACTAGAAGGGCAACCATCAAATAAAAAGTGGAAGAAGAAAAAACTGAATTCTGTCAAAAACACCAAAAGTTTGCAGGAGATACTAGAAATCATGGAGGATCCACGCATAATTCCCGTTATAAAAAAAAAGAAAAAATGACACAAAGACACTTTTAAGTTAGCCGAAACCATGTTCGCACCAAATTCTCAAGTCTATTCTAAAATATAAATACCTTGAACCTCTAGGCTGGCACTGGAGAGCAGAACGTCTCCAGGAAAGGACTGAACAAAACGCAGACATGCGTGATGCGTGAAAAAACAGTTAAGAAATCATCTGCTACTTACATTTCCGTACTGTTCGAGGTCGAGAGAAAACACCGCAGATTGATATCTGACCTAATCTCTCACTAGTACCCCTACCGTGGTCTGACTTCCAACTACCGAAAGAGATATTTCTTCAGACTGCTATCAATATCCGCTTGGTTAACTTTTTGCTACACCGAATACCAAAGGACTCATCCATCACTATAAAAAAATAGATATATTATTTATTTCAAACACTTGACTCAGTTCATTTTATTCACAAAATTTCCGATTATAATAATTATCCTACTGCCTATCCACACAGGCGACGTTTAGATGTGAACCCATATGCCATATATTCTCCATTCTTTGCAATGACTTATTACATCAATTGTCAGCCAGTTCTTTAATGCTTTAAGTAAAACTCCACAGGTTTTGATGTGGAAATGTTTTCGACCAAATCTTGAATCTGGTCTTTCATTAAACAAAGATTTCCCCATCAATGCATTTTGCGGCGATCGAAAAAACATACGACTCTGTTGGTGTTGTGTTCTGTGTCATCTCTGGCTCCTCACACAATTACATAAGACGGTATCAACGAAAAGGACCATTTCTTTTTCTTATTCGTTTTATTAGGAGAGAGTGGTGGCAGTTTGGATTCTAAGAGGCATCGGGAGGAATGAGCTCATAGAAACGCATATCACACGTTGGCTCAGCATCTCTCCGTGGGTAGTCTTTTTCGGTCTCTCAACCTTGGTGGGGGCGGCGTATCGACGCTTCAGAATTATTTTGAATTCGCGCCGGTTTGGACTTATAATAAAATCCAGACAAAGATAATCCATCGCTGTGAAAGTACCCAACGAAAGATAATCCATCACTATCAGAGTACCCCACGCACGAGGTACTCCGGCCAATCGCTGACTCTGGCTTTCGCATTCTGTAACATTGGTCCAAGGTCAGGTGAATATCTAAGTTTATATCGAAAGTTCTTAGAATGTTGCAGGCGAGTCGCATATTGCTCTGAGGTTATATAATGTTGTACAAAGACGAAATGAATTTCTCAAAAAAAGTCACTCACTCGTATCCACCGAAAGAAAGAGGTGTTTCCAACGTGAGAAAAATATGTATATTATGCTTTATTTTCCATAATTTTACTACACGTGTTTCTAGTTTCGCGACCGTCTTCAGGTTATATATATTGTCATCCACAGACTGACTGTTTCGCTGTATCACAGCTCATCAGTGTGAGTAGACGCCCGGTTGCCTCTAGCTAGGATCGGAACCCGACTGAATTGGCGTCAGTCGGAGATTCTACCACTAATCCGTTGGCACACAGCAGGGATGAAGGTCAATTTAAGCATAATTATTTTTAGATAAACACGCAGTGACTGAGAGAACTCAATTCGATTTAACGAAGGGTCTTGCATTTTTAGCCGTTTACAAACCCACACTTCCTACCCAGAAAGCTCAACCGAAATAAATTTTTCAGGAGCATGTATATTGTCAGACTCTTTCGCTGTATCACAGCTCATCAGTGTGGCTAGACGTCCGGTTGCCTCTAGCTATATATATATATATATATATATATATATATATATATATATATATATGTGTGTGTGTGTGTGTGTGTGTGTGTGTGTGTGTGTGGTGTTCATTAGAGAGTCCGAGACACTGGTGTTCATTTGGAGAGTCCCAGACTCTCAAGGCCATCCTGGCAAACGTGGTGGCAACTATCAGTTTTATACTGTTCAAATCTAGAGTTAACCGTTATGTTCCCCTCCTATCCATATAAAACTACCCCTTTAACGTAACACTTTACTTCGAGTGCCCCCCCCCGGTCTTGTACAGGGGGAAACCTTACTGCAAAAAAAAAGGCCCCAAAACATAAAAGTATCAATAAAGCCCGTATAGGCAACCATGGTTTAACCCTGAATGTGCTGAAGCCATAGCACACCATAATCATTTCTACTCTATTTATCAGAGAGAAAGATGGAACAGTACTCCTGCCTCATTCAGAACAGCCTGCAATCATTGGAGGAGAAGACTGGTAAATGAACAGATCGTCTATGCGCAGTCAGTCCAAACCAAAGTCGAAAACAAAAGACTTACTTCCAACGAGGTCTTAAAAATCGCAAACATGATTCCCAATAGAGGCAAACCGGCACTGCGAACTGATATAGATGGGCCTGATGTCATCACATACTCGTTAGATAAGACTAAGCCCTTTGCAATGAACTTTGCCTCTATCTTTACGTTGGACGACAAGAGTCATCCTCTACCTGACTCTCCCCATCTCACTCTTCACTTCTCGGCTTCGAAAAGCTTCCAGACCCATAAAAAATCTTGGAAGGTCCGGATAAAATTTATCGATAGTTTTTTTTTTAATCATTTCACTCGCAAGCATGTGATAAAGCCACTAAGACGCAAGGGGGGTTACTGCGTGTTAGACAATGTAAGAAGAAGACATTGTTAAGGAGGGAAAATAATAAAATAACATGTAGATTTTGAATCCTCTTCCGCTGGCTGCCGAGCCGCAGCTCATCCGACCTCATCATAAAGATAAAACCAACGACTAGTTGAAGGGTTGTCATCATATATATATATATATATATATATATATATTACAATTTCAAATAAAACAAAGCAAAGTGTTAGAGAATATAAGAAAAATGCTAGTGGAAAGAAGAGTAAACGAACAGGAATCGAAGAGAGAGAAGATGAAGATTGGCATTGCAATTAAATTTTTAAAGATCAAAGTTGACTGGGAAAGTTAATCAGAACAATTATCATGAAAGTATTTATAGAAAAGGCACAGGGAAGCGAAATTACGGCAGTGGGAAAGGGACTGAAAATGAGATGCCAGGTCAGGACCAAAAACATTGCAGTTTTATTTTTTTTTTTCAGTTTTATCAAGAATCTCTAAATGTATAGTAGGCGCACGAGACCATATGGGGCAACAATATTCAAAGAAAATATTCAGAGAAAATATTCGTCCTGCGACGGGAATCGAACCAGCGTCCTATACAGAATCGTCATATAGCCTTAATCGATTTTACTGCTTTTAAATTACAATCTTCCATTAAAATTTCTATGAAAATCTATTTCTATGAAAATTTCTCGGACATTCAGGCTGGTAAATGTTATTAATACTGTTTATTATAAAAAAAACAGAGCATTTACTTAAATACTTGTATCTATAAAAAGAATGTATAAACATAAAAATGTCTTTAAAATAATTGTCGGAATTTATCCAGTTCATTATGTGTGACGTCATTTCTTTACATTTAGATGTGCTTTGAGCAGATATGAATACACGTGAGAGATTCATGGAAGATTGCAGTTTAAAAGCAGTAAAATCGACCTTGCTAACCGGACGTTCCTCTGTGACTTAATCGGTTAAGGCAAGTCATGCTATATGACGGTTCTGGAGGAAGAATATTTTCTATGAAAATTTCTCGGACATTCAAGCTGATAAATGTTATTAATACTGTTTATTATAAACAGAGTATTTACTTAAATATTTTATCTATAAAAAAATATATAAACATAAAAATGTCTTAAAAATATATCATTTATATAAGCGACGACACTATCCCGTCCAGCCAACATCGTGTCCATTATTTGGTGAAAAATACCTGCGGCTACTTTTACACCGAAGGGTAATCTTCTAAACTTGCAGAGTTCTTTATGTCTATTAATAGTCAAATACTTCTGGCATTCCTCATCCACTTCGATCTGAAGTGGTCAATTTTTGAAAATAGTTCACCACCATTTAATTTGGCAAATATATCCTTTGGAGTTAGTAGAGGATATACGTATGGTAGGAGGAAGTCATTCAAGCGAGTTGAAATGTCTGCACATAAACGAGTCTTATTATTTTGCTTTCTAATATAAACCGCTGGCGGGGCCATGCTGAATACTCTATTTTTTTCAATAACTCCGCAGTTTTCTAACCTAGAAACGTAGCAAATGGTATCTTTCTTTTAGATTTACAACTGGTATCACATTTTCTTTTAATTTGAAAAATGCCTTTGACTTTGTACATTTTCCCAACTCCTCTGAGAAAATATTAATGAATTTATTTTTAAGTTTACCCAGTGTTTCGTTAGCATTAATCTTTTTTCTCTGACGCACAATTAATTTTTCCACAAAATGAATTAATCGGCCAATTCCATAGTTAATTTCTTGCCCGATATTCCACTTGCAACTTTGTCGATTTTTTCAAGTTAGGCTAGACAATTATGTTCTAAGTTTGTTCATCAATAATTATAATATCGCTACCAGTGTCCAACTGAAATCTCACTGTATCGTTATTCATTTTTATTATCACGAATTATTTATTATTTGAACTTTCCAGTTTTTTTAGCTGGTAGCACTACTTTCAGCAAGTTAATTTGTGTATTTATTATGCTTTTCAACATGCAGATGTTTCGTTTGTGGCATGTTTTTTGATTTTAAATGGACAGTTCTTTCTGAAAGGAAGAATAACACGGCCATAGCATGGATTAAGTTTCACAGTAGTTTTATTTCGGATTTTTTCTATTGGTACTACTGTCTTTTTTCGAACTTCTTGTACTTCTGACGTAGCATTTCGTTCGATTTTCGATGCATCGTGCCTTAAATTGACAATTTTTGGCACTCTTTCGCAAGAGTCTCTATCGTTAACTTTGAACCCTGTCCAAATTTTGTAAGGACTCGCGAGCATATTTCAACATTATTGCTTGATATTACTTTAACGAAAATTAGAGATTTAACTTTGTCTGGAGATAGTCCGTCCAGTTTAAAAATCTCACACACAATCTTGACTTTATCATCATATGTGTCTTCATCTTCATCCTTAGTAAGGTTCATGCACTGTTTTGATAATATCGACACTGTTTCGTTAAATGATACTTTTTCTGGTGTATTCGGCAAAATGAAATTCAGATATTTTTCATGTTCAGCGGGGCACAATTTTCATAACAGAAGACGTACTTTCTTTTAATTCGACCATCCTCGACATTTTTCTCCGAAGATGGCCTCGTATCTTCTGAAGTACAATAGGAATGTAATGTTTTCTTCTGAGATGGAATTAAATTCACTAATTGATTTAGCGACTGAGTCCGGCGAAAATGAATTTGACGAATTGCCCGTTCCTTGCTTTTCCAGGATTGCCTTCAACTGTTCTCGATATTCAATCCTCTTCCGCTGCACTTGTTGTAATAGTTGCTGAATAATTATCTTCAGTTCTTCTACGGTGTATTATTTTCGTCGAAGTAGTTCTTATCTTGGAAAAAAAGTTTGTTTTTTTAACTAATAACAGTATGTCTTAGACGATTGGAATTTATTGACTTTTGCGTCGCCCTAAGAATATACACAAATTCCACAAAATTCTTTTCTGTGAATTTTGAATTTTCTTCGCCAGCTATTTATGCTAAGCGAGAGATATTTTTTTTCTTTTTCGTATGAATTCGAATCCTCTTGGCCATTGTTTTCTCTTCATTTCATTGAATAATGATAGCACAATCAGGAAATATAATGTCGCTTGGAGTCGACATAGTCGCATTAAATTCTGTGATAAGGATACAAGGCTCACTCCCGACTAGCACTCTGCTGACAATTCTCGGTGTCAGTATATATGCTATTTGGGCGAATCCAACTCATATTCTGGAGTGATGTGTTCATCTCCACAACACACTACTTGATAGGAAAGACTTGATAATTAAGAAAGCTCTTCCCAAGCAACCGTAGCTAGAGATTTCCTATAGCAAAACCATTTGGAACACCTTGCCAAATGCCTTTGAGACCTGCCAAAGAAAATTATCAGATATATAGCAAATATACAAGCAGACGATACCACAGTTTAGGGGTGCACCAGACAAAATGTAAGTGACCAAGACCTACCAGATCTCTCAACTGGCTTAGTTTTAACAGATCAATGGTAAATCAAATCATAAATACTAATAAAAAAATTAATAAGAACGGTTAACAATGCTTCATCTATAAAGAAATAAAGATGAAAGTAAATACTAGTCAAAAATGAATAATAATTGCTGACAATGCTTTATCTAATAAAAAATGAAGTTGAAAGTAAATACTAGTCAAAAATTAGTAATAATGGCTGACAATGCTTCATCTAATAACAAATAAAGATGAAAGTAAATACTAGTCAAAAATTAATAATAATGGCTGACAATGCTTCATCTAATAAGAAATGAAGATGAAAGTAAATACTAGTCAAAAATTAATAATAATGGCTGACAATGCTTCATCTAATCAAAAATGAAGATGAAAGTAAATGCTAGTCAAAAATTAATAATAATGGCTGACAATGCTTCATCTAATAAGAAATGAAGATGAAAGTAAATACTAGTCAAAATTAATAATAATGGCTGACAATGCTTCATCTAATAAGAAATGAAGATGAAAGTCAAAATTAATAATAATGCTGACAATGTCAAAAAGAAATGAAGATGAAAGTAAATGCTAGTCAAAAATTCATAATAGTGATTCACAATGCTTCATGTAATGAATAACCAAAAAGATAATGCAGCAATAGTAAGGATTCGAAAGTTTTGATATTTACTGTTACTTTCATTTCTAGCAAAAGTCACCAGACTCTCCTTGTGTGAAAATTCATACTAAAGTAAATAAAATGCTAATAGAAATCATTGTTCGTCAATGTAATCTTTTTCTTTCTTTATCTCCTTTTATTTATTTACTTTTTGGTTGATTTCTTTCGCACTCTTCTTTCTTCGTCTCATTATCATCGTCTTTCATCTTGTTTCCTGCTACGCCATTGTCTTGTGCGTCTCTTTCCTTCAATCTCCTTCCCTCCCAAACACCCCGTCCTTGCTTATCGTTTCAATAGAATTTCTCTCTCTCTCTCTCTCTCTCTCTCTCTCTCACTCTGTCTCTCCCCCTCCCCCTCTTCCCCCGGTACTGCTGTGTTGCACCCTCGAGGCACAGACACAAAAAGAAAGCAGAAACTCGTATCGATCATCTGCGGTTAATCGCCAGAGAACAAAAATCTCTGTTCTTTGGTAAAGCAAAGAAAAAGAATTCTTGGCAGTCAATAAAAGAGGCGGGAAATAAAAGCAAGAGGCATATTGACATCTACATGGGCAACTGCCATAACAAAAATAGCTGTTTGGCGATGGAACCTGCCATTAAGCGATCGTTAACTAACTGGTGTCGCTCTCGTGGTGAATTCACTTTTCATGGCTACATTTTTTTCGGGTACTTTTCTAGTCTATTGACTAAATTCATATCTCTTACTTTCTCTCTCTCTCTCTCTCATTTATTGCTTTATACCTCTTTCTTTCTCTTTCTCTCTCTCTCTCTCTCTCTCTCTCTCTCTTATTGCTTCATATCCCTTTATCATCATCATCATCATCATCATTATTATCCTTCGACCTCCCTAGGGTTGGTCGGAACTCCATTGACAATCCCTTTCCACACTGTTTGGTCCTGCATTGCTGTCCTCAGATCCCGAATGTCCAACCCTGAGTCCCAAGCTATGGTGTCTGGGAAAGTCAATTGTCGTGAGAAGACACTTCCAGAAGGATACCAAAGGAGTAAGAATGGGTCGATTCAGTGGCAGTGGCCGGCAAACTCATCTCTCTCTCTCTCTCTCTCCCTCTCTTTCTCTCTCATTTATTGCTTTATACCTCTTTCTTTCTCTTTCTCTCTCTCTTTTCAATTGTCGTGAGAAGACACTACCAGATGGATGCCATTGGAGTAAGGATGAGACAGTTTCCCTGTCCGCTCGGTGTCAGGAGCCGGCAAACTGTAATCATTTTTGCTTGAGCTTAAGACAGATTAGTCCCTGTTCTCCGTAAATTATGGTAAGCGTTGCATGGCATCTCCAAATGATGTTCTGAATTTTTCTAAGTAGATTTGTATATGTTCCATCCAGTCGTCTTTCAAGACGAACAGATAATGTCAACGTTTCTCATCCATATAGTGGAACTGGTTCAATCAATTTTCGAAAGGTTTGAACTTTTAAGGAGGATTGAAGATTCAAGATCCAAATTTTGTCAAGTTTGTTACACGCATTCCATACTTTATGGATGTTGAAGTAAGATCCAAGATAGTTGAAGTCCTCAGCTCTTTCGATGGATGTGTTATTGAGTGACTTCAACTCGGATTACAGGTTTAGTGAATTCTGTTTCTCCTGGTACACAACTAATATGACCTTGTGTCAGACAAAGCTAAATACAGAAAATGTTTGACTGGTTTAGGAAGAATTCGAAGAGGATTGTGTCAGTCTATTTAAGAACTTGTATGAAGCATCTTCTAGATCTACCATTCCTCCGTGCATTCAATACTGCTGCCATATCTGACCTGTTGCCCCTGTTATGTACCTCGACATTCTTGACAAAATTCAAAGATGGGTCTGTAATGTAATCTGCACCTACCCGGCATCTCGGCTTCAGTTACTTTCTCACCGACGTGGCTTCCCGGTTTCTTTTCTACAAATATTTCCATTGCAATTGTTCTGATGGGCTGTTCTCATTTATTGTCTCGATAACATGAATTTAAGCGCGGTACTAGATTGGCAATTAGGTGCCATTTTTTATTGTTGAACGAGCTAAACGCAACCGTCAGTTCTATTCTAATAGTTACTTTTCTCGCATTTTCTCGCCTCCCTTCCGTTTTCTTTGCTTCCCGGCTATCCTACAATCTTAGAAAAATTAATGACAACGTTAATAGCCATCTTGAATTCTGTTCCTTTGTTGTTCGTTTTCTCCCTTCATTTCACCGTCTTCTCTTTGTTTTTGACTCCCCAGACCTGCGTGGGACGATAAACCACATCCGGTTGCAAGGCTTCTGACCAGAAGGGTTTGAGGAACATGGAACCACCCCTTAATGGTTGTTGTTCCCAGGTCCAACTTGATTCAGAACAGCAGAACCTTTTAGAGTTCAAGCTATGGGCAAAAAGTGAACTCCAAACTAACATCAAGACACTAGGGAAGTATAAAGATACATTTTTATATTAACTATAATAGCAATGCGTTTTTTTTATTTAAAAATACCAACAATACATTTAATAATCTACAAACTATATATCTAAAAATAACTGCGTTCACTCTGTATAAAGTTATGTTCAAAATATCTATAGTTGAAAGCTTAAAATTATTATTTAGATTTCTGTTTTAAATAACCCATAGAGGTGTTGGTATACCGCTGAACAAAAATCTGCCAACAATCTTTCACTCCCAGTAACCCGTTACTTCGTAGTGGTTTTATCGCTTTGCTTGGGGTGAAATGATTATATATATATATATATATATATATATATATATATATATATATATATATATATATATATATATATATATATATATATGTATATATGCATGTTTCATTAAAAACGACAGACAAGGTACTACAGTTGAGCTTTTTATTTAATTTTTCTTGTGTTCTGACAAAAATAATGGAAGCTCTAATAATAAAAAAGAAAAAGCCAACTCTTAACAATATCAATTATGAACAAAGCCACAATGTGCTAACCGTATTCGGAAACTAAAACATCACTACCACACACTGAACATACATAGAACACACACTCTACTAAGCTGATAATTGAACCATCCTTGATAATGGCTAAAGGTATAGCCGAAAGCGCTCGGAAACACAGAACATTCGGACAATTCTTACACACTTTTTTGTCCAGAAAAGAAAGCTCTTGTCAGAACACAAGAAAAATTAAATAAAAAGCTCAACTGTAGTACCTTGTCTGTCGTTTTTAATGAAACATGCATAAAGGAAGGATTGCTGCCTAAATATACAAATATATATATATATATATGTGTGTGTGTGTGTGTGTGTGTGTGTGTGTGTATAACGACGTTGTATGGATATTAATGACGAAAAAGAACCCAGAAAACCTCATGACAAACAATAAAAAAGGGCTTTCAACTAAGGTAAAAATCCGTAGTCAGGAAATTAAAGTAGTGAGACTATTCAAATATCTTAGCCCGATCATCAGCGGAGGGGGCCTCCAGAATAGAAGTAATTTCAAGAGAAGAACAAAAAATGGTAACTGTCGCAAAACAAAAGCATGTGGAAAACAAACATCTGCCTGAAATCAAAGATCCGACTTTGCATGCATTGGCGCTCTAAGTCTTTTTTTTTTTAAGCCTGCAAATCTGAGAGTGTACCAGCGAAACTACAGCCAAGAAATCACGTATTCGAAATTAGAAGCTACAAGACTATCCGAGACACCAACAGAGATTGCATCACAAATGGCGCTGTGCAAGACACAATCAAACAAAAAACAGGCCCGTTGGAAGTCCACATAACCAGGGAATCTCGAATGCAGTTCGCACCTCATAAGAGCCAAAAGTCTTTCCATTGCTACAATGTTCCGCCTTACACAAAAGAAAAGACAGAGAGAGGAAAATACGCTGAGTGCACTGGAAGATCATTCAGATATTGGCATTCAACCGAGACATATGGCGGGAACTGGTCATGTACTCATCTACGGAGAGACTTTACAACCACGCCTCGACTGATGATGACGACGACGATGATGATGATGATGATGATGATTCTACCAAAGTGATCGTTATTGACGCGGAGATTGAGGAGCTATTTCAGAGAGTTGAAAATCATTAAGACGGTGTGAGTTAATGGGGCTTTTCTGGACGAAAGGGAAACTACCTTTTAATGGAGAAAATAAAAATGTCAGCAAAATAAATTTAGAATATGGCTGAGACTGGTTTTAGCCGTGGAAATACGATGTAGTCATTTTTTTTATAATCATCTCACCCCAATCAAAGCGATAAAGCCACTAAGACGCAAGAGGTTATTGGCAGTAAAAAACGTCTAAGAAAAATAATTACTGGAGATCATGGCTCTCCGCAACTTCCTCTAATTTGCTGATCTAGATATTACTTGCTCCTTTATCACACCACTTAGCTCTTCATGGTATCTGTCCCTCTAATCATTCAATCAAAATTGTCAAATAGTTTTCACATTGTTGGAGATCATGGTCCTCCACAACTTCCTATATTTTTTTGCTCTAGGTAATACTTGATCCTTTATCATAACACCTATATTTTTATGTTCATTCATTTAATCATATTTTTTTATTTGATACTTTCCTCTGTTTCACGCACTTTCGATGTTCCTATGCGTGTCAAATTCGCCAAACCTACTTTCCTTATTACAGGGTGCAATGGGTAAATTGTCGCCATTTTATATTTTTAATTTCGCCCATGCGTGTTGCTTTTTTATTTTGCCGATTGCAAATTATAGTAGGGTCAGTTGGGCATTCTCTGTGGGATAAAGAGCATTATGACTGCCAGCAATTTAGAAGCTGTACTGCTTGACATTCGCGTCGGGAGCTCCAATACGAACACTTCAGAGTGTTTGTGTGACAGTGCAGAGGATTCGGAAAGAGTTGGATGGGTCTGATGAGGATTTCGATGGTACGGCAGATCCAAAAACTCACTCTGACTGTTCTGATAAAAAAAAAGAATTCAGGACTTTGTTGGTGACGGTCTCAGACTCAACACGGAGGTCTACATCAAGTGCCTTGAGAAGGCAGTGCTTCTCTGGGTCAAGAGGGTGGCTGCTGGAAGACCCTATGTCTGGCAACAGGATTCTGCACCATGCCACACAAGCAGGAGAACACAGTCATGGCTGTCAGACAATTTCTGCAGCTACATGACTCCTTACAACCGGCCACCTATCGCACCAGACTAGCAATCCTTTGATCATTAAGTGTGGAGCGCAGTTGAGCAAGAGACCAACAAAACTCCTTGTAACATTAAAGATGAACTGAAGGCAAGGTTTATGGCAGTATTCACGAACTTAAACAAGGAGATCGTCCAGAAGAGTTGCAGGAGATTCCGAAGTCTTCTGGAGGCCGTGGATGAATCCAATGGCGATTTTATTGAATAAATTTCCTCTTTAGTACTTCAAGATATTTTTGTGTAATTTTGGTAAATCTATCTGTTAAAATGGCTTGCTGTTATTTTTGCGTAATTTAGACAACAATTTATCCATCGCACCTTGTATATGTCCCCAAAATCTCTGATACCTCTAATTTTTAGCAACAGTTTCTTGGTCGTTTCTGCTCTGCTTAAAATTTCCTAATTTGTCACATGATCTGTCCAAGGTATTCTGACTGCTTAAAGTTTTTCTGCTCTATAAAATATTAGATAGTACGTAGCAGTCTATAGGGTTTTTTTTTTTTTTGTTTTGAATGATAATTCTTATAATTTTTATCCCTGAAAAAATTTTTGCAAATCAGCTTCTGTTCTTCCTGTTTGAGCGTCGTCGATTAAACAGGTTCTCCACACGACTTTCTAGGAATGAAAACGGTAATTAGCAACCCAGCAGAGAGAAAAAAAATGATACCTCTCAAAGTCTGGTTTATCTGTAACTGGCAACTGACTACAGATGGTGTCTCGATAAAAACACCGTGGAGAATATGAGAAACAACTGTCTTTCCTTAAAATATACACGGTCTGTCACTTCTTGGAAATATGTCACTCGCGAAAATATACTAACACCTATGATTATCTGATTCAAAGCTACCATTTCGTTCGTTCCTTTATCGGTGTTTTTACGCTTTTAAGAATGTTGGCGCCTCGATAAACAACTGCGGCCAAATTCAACCAGTACTGATTGATTCCATTTTATTTTCATTATTATTCTTTTAAAAATCTTTTCGCACTGCCTTTGGAGAGAAG